GCTTGGTTTCAGTTAAACTTGAGGTAGTTGGGCAAAAAAGGTTTATTCTCTCCCTCTCCTAAGATACCAACTGAAGAATCAACTGTGTGTTTAGAAATTGAGAGAGTAACATCTAATGGACTTTTATTTTTATTTTACCTGGAGGACTTTAGAAATCTAACTTAGGATCAGATAGAGGTGTGGAAACAGGCATAGGAGGTCGATATTTTCTTATGTAGAGCTATTCTGTGATAATAAAATCAGGAATAATAGTGAGGTAGAAGAGAAAAATGGGGGGGAGACAAAGGACGGGGGATAAGAAAGAGTACTAGAGGGAGCAAATATAATCAAAGTACATCATATGCATGTATGGAAATGTCATGATGAAACCTCTTTCTGTGCACAGTTTAGTGACTGCCAATAAAAATATGCCCAGATCCTAAAACATCTTTTTTTAAAAGAATCCATTAATTGGGTGTGGTGGTACATGCCTGTAATCCCAGCACTCTGGAAGCTGAAGTAGGAGGATTGTGAGTTCAAGGCCAGTCTGGGCCACATAGTGAGACCCTGCCTCAAATAACATAACAAAATAAAACAATAAATACACAACAATTTTTAAAATTGAAATAAAGTATAAGTGAAATAGACTCAAAATTCAAATCTCAGCTCTGACATTTGCAAGTTGGGGAAACTGATCTCTCTGAAGATCAACCTTAGCTACGTTTTGGTAATAATATGCACTCCCTCTGGATTGTTTAGAAAATTAACAATGGATACAATGCATCTAGCATCTTCCGGTAACATATCAGTTGCTCAGGAGGTGTGAGTTAGTTTTACGATTAAGGAAAGCTTCAGTTAACATTTTTGAGGTGTTCAAAGCCAGGATTTAGCAGTTTTTACTATATGGAATTTGTTTCCTCTACCTGCTCCAAATTTATTTTGCTGGAATCTAAACCAGTTCTCTCCTTTTCTCAAACCTGGTGATAACATCTGTTTAATCCTCTCAGTGTAACAAGGTCAAATCCAGGGTTTATATTTATACAATCATTAACACAACCGTTGCTAGACAGAAGTAGGTTTTGGCATCTCAATAATCTACCTGTGGTCTGTAATCTGGTTCATTGTTGTGTGGATAAACTGATTTAGTTACAAAAGGAAATAAAAATCACACAAACACACACACACACACACACACACATATATATATACATATACACACACACATGCATATACACATATGTATATATTTTCTGTTCTTCAATATACATAAAAATAAAAATCTGGCTTTAGAGTTTTTTTTTTAATGTGAATATGCAGGGAAAGTGAAGGAAGTTAAATGTTCCTTTCAAGTTCCTTAAAGCAGATGACTTTAAAAAGAAGGATGAAGAAACCTATAACAGTCTAGATTAAACTTGGTTGTTCAACCCAAAGTTTAGTGGATTTGTTTTAGAAGACACGAACCCATCAGGAGTCTTTCCTGGTTCTGAAAGCTCCATGTCAAATGTAGTTCAAACACCACATCTACACAGGGTGTGTTTTCTTAACAAATCCTCTTGACTGTGGCTGCTTTTGCAGGCAGAATTCAGCGTAGGATGCAGCTAACCTAGATGAAACCAGCCCTTTCTAGACCAGGGCCACAGGAACAGAGGACATCCTCTATCAGCTGGAAACTCAGACAGAAGTGATTTCCTCTTCCAATCCATTGCCTGATTATCCAGTGGAATAAAATTTGTGGAATAAAACCAGGCTAAGTTGTTGTTCTCAAACATGTTTATTTGTAACAGTTTTACATGGCGTGTTACAGAAATTAATGGAAAATTTCTAAAAATTTTGCTGTTCTGTTGAATGCATTGTACATAAAGTTAAAAATAATGTGTCCATATATGTTAACAAAGTGTCATCTGAGGTAAAGTTAAAGTAGGTCTAGAAACGCACTGCCACAGTCATTTTCTCTCTCATCTTTATTAAAAAAATATGTGTCAGAACGCAGAAATTGAAATGAACCAAACCACAGAGTAAACATTATTTTAAAAGAAGGTGCCCGGTACATTACACAACAGGTGTCAGTAGACACTGGGATGAGTACGAGCTATCAAAAAAGTCTTGTGGCACATAAAGATTGAAGAGCTATGGGGAATGGGGACAGAATGACAGGTGGTGTTTCCCTGGTTTCAAAATTTAAAGTGACAAATTTAGTGCTAGTGAAGGATGAGGAATTACCAGTTGCATACATAGATTTTTCTACTGATCTAACTAGAACGATGCAGGCTCCCCAGGCTCTTTTGGTGTTGGCACCTCAGCTCTTGTTTGGAAATGTCAGTGTATTCCTGGGACAGGGGATTGTGGTTCTGGGCTCATCAAACTGTGTTTGAAAAAAAAAAAACACAGAATTCTGCCAACAAGAATATAGATGGCAGTTTAAAATCTCAACATTATTCCCTCACTTTAATGTGTCACATAAGCATCTTCTTTAAGTCCAGAGCCAGTTACATTTTCAATCATGTTCAATGAGTGATGACACGTCCACTGGCCATCTCCCTCTGCTATGAAATTAACTCCAGACGGTGTACCTGCAACAGCAACATCAGCCAGAGTTCACTTTGAATGTGTCAGAAGCAACCCACAAAATCAGACTAATGGTGTGACACTGCAGGACAAATTCAGGACAGCTGTATTGAGGGAGAAGATAGCACCACTTGTATAGAATCACAATCCTGGACAACATTAACTGAACAATTTCCCCACAGGAACTGCCTATCTTATCAAATCTCCAGAACTCACATTTCAGAACTCTCAAGGCTATCACAACTTTTCCATTGTCTCCTTCATGAAAAAGGGTCTCCTATCATAAATTGTATGCACACCCCTGGAGAAACCATGTGGACCGATAGGTGACAGCTTCAGAGGGTAGTAAGTGACCCTTCTCACTTTTCTGGTTCTTGGGACCTTGTACATTAGGATAACACTTAAAATATTCTCTAATGGACTTGGTTGGTTATGTACCTGGAAAAAAATACTCTCCAGTGACCAGATTGTGTAAAACATTGACCTCAAATAATAACAATCACTGGGATCTATCCATTTATGTATGTGTGTGTGTGTGTGTGAACATTTTAAAATCAATCTTCCAAATCATTTTAGTTTCTATTGATATGAACAGCCAAAGAAGCATACAGGCCTATTTAAATCAATCATATCAATGTAAATTCTACTTTTCAAGTTTTGAAACCAAGTAATAATAATTACCCCCAAATCCAATTAATTATGTATTTCTTGAAAGTTTTCTTAGTGTTAAACCACTAAATTCAACATACTGTGACTGCATAGGAACATCAGGAAAACACATTTGACCTGTATAACAATTCTCTGTAGGGCAAAAATATATAGATTCTTTATGAAAGTCATGTGCTAAACATACGAACCAAACACTGCACTTTTTGTCCCATAAATGTAAAAAGAGGAAGCTTAAACCCTTCTGTTTCACATACAAACAGTCCAGGGATTTATGGGAGAGTAGGTGGGAGTGGAGAGGTGGAAAGTTTCAGAATCTGAAGATCAGGCCTTCTAAATATGAACTGCCTTTTTCTTACTTTGCACATAGGCTGGGTACTTTCATGGAAGGGCTGGATGTGGAGTTTCATGCCCACTTCCTGTTCACTAGCTGCTGATTGGCCAACTGCTCCTGCCGGCTGTCTGTGAACTCCAGCTTTCTACCATATGCTCCAGAATAACATGGAAAGTGAGCCCCATCCATCAAGCTTGTCACACCTTGCACTCAATCTGCTACCTTCTCTACAGTGTAATGGCATTATTAAAAAGCATTTTCATTAACATTTATATTTACAAAAAAACTGACAATTTTTTTTCATTAGAACTCCTTAAAGCCATTTCCCTTAAATATTTAAAGAGTTTAATGGTAAGGGTTTTTTTTTCAAGTTATAAAATAAAAATCCCATTTGAATTTTCTGATGTACAAAAAAGAGATAGAGATGAACCATTTTGAACATGGAATCAGTTTGTTATGCGGAATATTTATGTCACCATTGTTCTATTAGAAAGTTGGGTTTTAATATTCAAAACCACATTACCAGAATTGTACCAGAATTATTTGGCAAATGACTTTTCTTTGAAAATGGCACATGGAGAAGACACTTGTCTGCATAGTATCACAGCAGCAAAGTATCGGGAAAAATAAAGATCTCATTTTATTGTATTCAGTGTTTAGAGCTTCTTAGGAAACTGGATGCATTTTTTTCATCCTTCTCATCGATGGGATGTGATGTCCTCTCCTACTCACAGAATGAAGGTTCAAACCGAAAAACTGTCTTTCTCCACCAGGATGTAGAATAACTAAAGGGTTGTTTTGGCAACATTCTTTATCATAAGGAATCATCAACCACTTATTTGTCTTGTGATTTCAAGTTAATTCACTTCATAAGAGGCTTTTTTTTCCAGTTAGATTTCTTCACTCATGTCTAGAAAAAGTCAAAAGCAATACAAAAATTTGTACACCCATTAATTTTCAAACATGACACAAAGAAAGGAAAAGGGAGGGACAGAATGGCAGACCAGGCCCTGTGGGGCAATGCAAAAACACCATCATATGTCAACAGCATATGCATGATGACAATGTGGTCACAGAGGATCCCTTGCTTTTGCAATAAAGAAGTCAGTGCCAACCTTGTAATTCTCTGATGCCTGTCCAAATTTGCTGTTTCTACAGTGGCCAACAGGTAGAGAAATAAAAGCAGAATTATGATTTCATATCCTGGGTCATCTTAAACTCAGCTTAGAGAGCTCAGAATATCTTTCGTGAAAACAATTACTTGATTGGTGATTCAATGTTGAGTGTGTGGTTTTCTATACTTTTGTGGGGTGTTGTTTTTTGTTTTGTTTTTGTGCTGCCGTAGATATCTGCCATTGGTTGCCAAAAATCTTTAGTTCCCTCTTTGGAACAAGTTCCATTGGGCAATCATGAATTTCTCAGTGGGATGAGGTGACGTGAGAGAATACAAGAGAGCCTGTTGCAATGCTGATTTCCATGCTAGTCTTGAAGCACCCACCACGAGCTCATGTTGATGCTATTTCTTAGGTCTGTTGATCTGCGCATAGAGAGGCTCCGGCTTCTGTGGAGAGAGGGACAAAGTGAGTCCTGCCCTTTCCACAAGGGAATTTTCTGAGAGACAGTTTTAAAAAAAAGGGTTTGGGATTTAAAACAGAAAGGTGAGAGTTGATGATGGATGACCTTAGGTTATTTTTGGATTATTTGATCATGGTGTATCTCACTTTGCCAACAATTTTATCACCCAAAAGAATTATGCATCCACTTCCACCTTTGATTTTGAGGCTGAAACTGGTTGCAGTAGTCAAGGGAACTGTGTGATATGGGCAATGCTGTCCTTTCTGAGCCATGGCTTCCCCAAACATGAAATGTGAGTGGTACTGTTTATCCTGCAGGATCCCTAAGAGAATTAGAAATAATCCATAGATAACATCTAGCAGAATGCTTGGTATTACTGGGTCTGCTGAAAACGGCAAGCATTATATGGCAGTCGACACAGCTCCACAGATGTCTATTTGAGACCCCTCACCTACTATTCCACTCTGCTCTTCCTCTCCAAAAACAGTGACTGGAGCTGAGCAGGAAACAGCAAGTGACCTTCAGCTCTGGGACTTATTTTAGTCACACTGCTGCTTTTGGTTTGGCCAGACATTTGCCTACATGCACAGGCTTTCCTGACACACTAGGAGATTTTCACTAACACAACACAGCAAACCTACAACAAAAACATAGATGGGGGAATCAGTGTTTGGCTCTGTGTAAGCTACATTAGCTCCCAGTGAGATGGTCTAGCAGGCACTGGGCAAACAGATCAGATCTGTTCTCTCGTCTAACACATGTGTAGGCCCTTCTGCTAAACTGCTATCACTCTTGGGTGTTTGTGCTAGAATTAAATGGGCATAATGACATACCGTAGAATGCCACCATACTTTATATAGTATGCCTCGTACTATGTACATACAGGTCCTTTTTATTTGCTTATTTTCAGGAACCCTCAGAATTAATTGGCATTCTGTGAGCTCCTACTGTGTGTGTGGCATCATGCTAGGCATTTTCAAGTACATTTTAACTTCCTAATCATCACAACAATCTTGAATGTTAGATACTTTACTGCTTTTGCAAGCGAGAAAGTTATGCAATTCGTCCATGGTCACACAACTATGAATACATGAGAACTGAAATATGGTCCAGTGCTTCTTCTAGTGCATTACATGGGAGGTGGGGGGTGGGGTGGGCAGAGAGAGAGAGAGAGAGAGAGACAGAACATTAATCCTTCCATTTGTAGAGTGCTTTAGAGTTTCCAAAGCCCCCTCATCCCCTCATGTTTTATTTTATCTGCCCAACAGTTCTGGGAGCAGCTTTTATTCTTTCCATCCTCATTTTGCAGATACAAATTGATGTTCAGAGAGGTTGTGTGGTTTCAATGTCACTGGGAATAGCTTCTCCCATTCCCCAGCATCCCAGTTACTATGTAGCCATGTAAGACTCTGCCATCAGAGCCAAGCCTTTCTCTTTGGGACTCTTGTGGGGAGAAGGAACTTTCTGCCCTTCCAGGCACCCTGCTCTGTAATACAGCAGAGTGCCAGTTTGTTCCTCCATGCTCCACCCACGACTTCATCTCACCCTGGGAAGCATAAAGAGTAAGTGCACTCCTACTTTCAAATGCCTTGTGATGGGCTGTATGGGGAGCCAATCTCCTCATCTCCTTCTGGGTGGCCAACTGTCAGTTCCTTCTGCTGCTTCTACACGTGGACATACCCCATAGGTTCTCACTGAGGGTTTGCCAAGTTAGCAAAAAATCATGATGTGGTTTCTAGTTTCTTCCCTGTTCTGAACCTTTTGTCCTAAATACACTTAAATTTGGCTTTATTGTCTCAAAATTAAATATACCAAAATAGAGAATAAGATGATTTATTTATTTATTTATGATGTTGGGATTGAACCCAGGGACTTGTGCATGTTAGGCAATAGCTCTACCACTTGAACCATATTCCCACAGACTTCCACTCTTTTTGTTTTCTTGTCTTCTTTTTGGAGGGGTGGTACTAGAGTTTGAGCTCAGGGTTTCATGCTTGCTAGGCAGGCACTCTACACTTGAGCCACACTCTAGTCCTTTTGCTCTGATTATTTTGGAGACAGGGTCTTGCTTTTTGCCTGGATCAGCTTTGACAGCAATTCTCCCATTTATGCTTCATGCAGTAGCTGGAATGAGAGATGGATATGCTAGCACAGTCAGCTTTTTCTGCTAAGATGGAGTCTTGCAAACTTCTTTCTTTACCAAGGCTGGCTGATTCTCCTAATCTCTGCTGCCTATGGAGAGAGGACTGTATGTATTTTGTTTTTGAGATAGGGTCTTGCTGTTAACTGTACTTAGGCTGGCCTCAAACTTGTGACCTTCCTACCTCTGCCTCCTGAGTAGTTGGTATTACAGGTATGGCTAGCAAGATGATTTATTAAGCACTTACTCTATTTCCCTGCCAATATTTTGAACATTTTCTAGTATCTGTTGTGAGACTGTACATTAACTTTCCTGCTTTCCTGTGTGTGTGTTCTACAGTGGGGGTACATGGAATAAACAAAATTGGAGTAGAAAAATTGTGAAGAATCAAATTTTGTTGACATAATTGTTAAGAACAACTGGGATGAAACATTCTCTGTTGCCTGTACCAGCCTTCAAGAATGCACCCTCATGTTTCCTGCATGGACTTTCTCAGTCCATTCTTCTTTTTGGTTGCCCTAAGAAGTCAGGCTGCCTTGATCTCACCCTACAATTTGCTCTATTCTAATTTTGGAAACTAATTTATCCAACTGAGAATGACACCTAAAAACAGAAGACGACAGCAGGCTCAGACAGGGTAATTAATGCCACACTGCATTAACTTTCTGCAGCTGAGATAAATATTCACATATCTCCCGCTTGCTGGAATTTAGCTTCAAATACCCAGCACAAGAGAAGTAGCAACTGCAGTCAGCTCTCAATTATCCCCACTAATGAAGGGGAGCAGTGGTGTGGAAAACCCCAAGCAGCAGATAATCCCGAAGTCTGACACTGTGATGCATTATATGTTTGGCAATAGCTTTCCTTTCCTTGTTACAGAATCTTAGACTGTCAGAGCTGGAGGGGAGCTAAGGAATCATTTGATCCAGAAATTTCCAACCTGGCTCTGGCAAGGTCACCATAGAGTCTTCAAGCTATTTTCAATATTTCAAAAAGCCTAAATAGAATGTAATATGTTATGGATGATTTTTGTTTTGTTTTGGTAGATGGGACCACACCTCTGCCTGCTTCAAATCCTTCAAACCTCTCTGCACCACCCCCATCACCCACAGGGTAAGGTCAAAGCTGCTTATCTGGGCACACAAGACCCATTAGTCTTGTAGTACATTAGGGCTAATAAAAACCCCTTCCAGACAATGAATCAAAACTCAACTTTCAGGTCACATAAATCACGTTTTATTTTTTTAAATCTTTTTTGGCCTCTTCCACAGTGATCCTTTGTGTATGGATATGGCCATCGAGTTTCCCACCTGAAATAGCCCTCCCAACTGTCCAGAGGATCATCCAAATGCCTCAGGATGGCACACAGGCCCTTCCAATATGGCTCCACCTTCTCCACCAACCTTACCTACTCCCACTCTCTCCGGCTCCTCTTTCACCCTAATAGGGCAGGATTTTTCCACCCCTAAGACTTTGTTCGGATAGTTCCTTCTGCCTTCAGGCCTTTGTTTGCTCTGCATGGGGTTCATCCTTTGAGACCCAGCTCAAATAGAAAGGACTATAGGACTCTGCAGGTGATCGGAGCCACTTTGCCTCTGGACACCTGTACTAAACCTTGGTCTTTACTCCTGTCATAGCACCAACTAGTATATTCTACATTGAACTCTACTGTGCCTTACACATCAGGATCTGAAAGTCTGAGTAAGAGGTGTACCCACTAAAAATGAAAATATGAATGAGGAAATGAGTTTTTTTAAGTGGAAGTTGGCAAATATTTAGGAGCTTTAAGTTTATCCATGACTCTGGCATATGAATATCTTCAAAGGACAACAAAGCAAATGGAAACCCTCCAACCATTTATCTAAACTAAATATCATATTTTCTTGGAGGTGAAGTAAAAGTTTGAAAGCATAGGAGTCTGAGATCAGGAGGGCCACAGCAGCTCTTACTGCTGCCAATGTCCTGCAGTCAAAGGCTACATGGAACATACCTGGAGCTGGACAATTGGGTTTATTCTCTATTACAGAATAGAGAATAGGGGAGCCATGGGGCACCTCAGCAAGAAGGACAAGAAAGGACTCATCATAGGACTTGGGCTGGTGTTACATGATTTAGAGGCTCAAAAAGTAGGGGGTTTCTCTGGCTTGGATACTATCATGGTGTGAGGATAACTCTATGATTGCTTTAATAATTCTTGGTTGACAGGCAGGAAGGATGGAGCAGGGCTAACTCCCAGATAGAAAAATCTTTTGGTCAGTTTTAGAATCTGTCCTGTTCATGTCACTTGATTACCAAGTGGCCTTAATTTGTCTTGACCCATATCACATCCTTGACGGGCCTTGTCTATTGCTTATGTGTGTGTAATTGTTGGTGTTCCACAGGAACACACAGGCCTGGCCATCATGTTCATTCTTACCATCTTCCCCTCAGTACCCTGAGAGCGTGGTCTCAGACACCTGGGTGAGGAAGCAGAGGTCTCCTCTGGAAGAGGTGTGGTGAGTGAGAATCAAAGAGAAAGTCCGATGCTCTCTGGCACACAGGAGCCTGGCGAATGGGAAATACTTCTGAAAATGTTAGGCCCGGGTGTCTGGGCCTAAGGTTTTGGGTCTAATAATCACCTGTGGGTGTCATTCTGAATTGCTTTCCTTCCCAGCACACAAGTGCAACTGCAAATGGGCTCTCTATTATGAAATACATTAATACATTAATACATTAGATCAGCCTAGGGAGAGTGTATAGAATGAATGCTGAATTGATCTAAAGACCTAACTGCAAGCCCTGTGAAGACAGACTTCTGTTTTTTGCAGATGACTCCATGAGTTCGTTAAGTATGAATTATGTACTCA